AAAATTTTTTAAAAAAAAAAAAAAAAAAAAAAAAAAAAAGCATTTTGCAAATTGCAAATACAAATAGACACACATATATACGACACAAAAAGCTATGATTAAGGCTAAAATAAAAGTAACAATAATTTTATTTTGTATAAACCAAATAAAAGTTACAAATAAAAGTTAAAAAAAATAAGCAAAAAAAGTTATATGAATGACATCTTTGACATAAATTGATCAAAAAAGAATCAGAGACTGTAAAATAACAAATTTTACCTTAGACAGCTAATATTTTAAAGCTTTCTGTCTATCTGCTTACAGATATATTGAAAGATAGGTGTAAGCTTTTTTTTGTACTAGATTAATTCAGAAAAAAAAAAACTAATCGAAAAAAAAAAAAGCTGCAGATTACCGGTCAGTAACAAAAGTCAGTCGGCCAACAGAAAAAAGACAAAATGAGTAAGAATTAAAATAAAAGATAAAATTTTGAAGTTATCATAGAAGTATTTAAGTTTTGCTTTTATTGCTTCCATACAAGTTACTGGAAATAAGGAAAACTTAATTATTTTTCAAAAATAGCCAACTCATATCTTACGCAAGTGACACTCAGAGATGAATCACACAGATAAGTAGACAAAAACACACCAATCTGCATATGAACACAAGTCTTAAAAGAGATACAAACACAGACACCAACAGACAAGAAAACTTGCATATTTGCCGTAAAAGGTAATGGTAACAGTGCCACCACCAGAAAACCATCGACATATCCTCAACAACAATACAACAACTTTAGGACAAAAATTTCACTAAGATCATTCTTTACAAACACATATTTCAACTTTGGTTTCTTTGGCATACATCTATCACAGTTCATATAACAAAAAAATAAAAAACCGAAAAGCAAAGAACAAAAAAGAAAAAAAAAAAACTTACTCTGAGAGCCATAGGAGAAATGTATTATAGCCTCTTCAATCGTCATTCATCCATATTCTACTTGCCTCCTTTATTTTTTTCCTGTTTCTTTTGGGCTCACTAATCACTCAATAATTTCTGCTTTTTTTACTCATTTATTTAGCTTTTATGTCAAAAACAGAGAGCTTTATTCAGTACAGCAAGCACTTCTTTTGTTCATCTTTCTTTTCTTCTTCCCATCCCCTCATTAGTTTTCTTGTACGTTCTACTAATCGTCATCAATCTGAACTTAAACACTCCGAAACCATCGTACCATAAATCCTAGACCCTCAACCATTTCAGAAGCATCGCCTAATCTCAATATATTAGATTAAGTTTATTCGTGCAGCACTAAATTGCTGTCAAACTAGCGATGACCAGTATTGGCAGGTTAAGAGGATAGGAGAATCAAGTCTGGCAATTGCTGGATTGAAGTAAAGCCAAATTGCTTTAAACTTCCAAAGACCAGAGCATATGTCTGTCTATACATACAACAAACACTACAGATACATACAAATAAATCCACCATTTTGTTGACTGATAAGCCTGATAACGATTCAATACTGTCTGAAACACCCAATACATATATGCTCTAATAAGTAATAACTTTAACATGGCTCAAGTCAACATTAGATATTACTGCCTAATAAACACAGCAGTAATTTTTCCAATAATATTACCCCATGAAAATTCACAAAGATATAGAAAATACACACATAGACGCACACATACACTTTAAAACCTAGTTAAAATCGCTTAAAGTTCACCCTTAATTTTAGGCGATTACATTTACAAATATTAGAAATAGTGGTGATAAATAATTCACTTGTTTCCAAAGAAAATATATCATTCAAAACAAAAATAATTCGACCCGTAAAACTAAAAAAGTTGATGTCATTTTTGGAGCATCAACAACAAAAAGTACGAAATAAACAAGTGTAATCAACAACACGAAAATTTTTCTAATTCAGTTTCTCCAGCATAAGTCGTTTTGTAGAAGAAGAATTAAAAAGTGAAAGAAGCGATACAAAAAAATAATCGTATTCAGACGTATAATCGAAAAAAACTAACCAAAAAGTTTGGTGCTTAGAATCCTAATTAACTTCATTGTCTTCTCCTCATCTGCTACTATAATCACTGATGAAGTTGGCAAAAGCGAAAAATGCAGTTAAAAATAAGCAATGAGAAAAGTTTTTTTTTGATTCTTTTAAACCATTCTTTTCCCTCTCTATACTCTCAAAGCATCTACCAAAAACTAAAAATCTTGTCTTTTATCAAAAGTTTTTCAAAATATCGGAAAAAAATAATCCTTACAACAAAAAATAAAAAAGAAGTAAGAAAGGTGACAATTAAATAAATAATTGAGCATTAAATTGATATTAATTATTCCAGAATACTGATAACCACCAGTTATAGTAGACAAAAAGAAACATTAGCAAAAAGAACTGATACTTAATAGACAAATTGTGAAGTAAACCGGATGCTCCGCCTGTTGATCGACCTTTGACATCACTAACACAATTCCTAAATTCGTAGCCTGTCAAATAATTGTACACAGATAGCGACGTTCGATTGCTGCGGTACTGGTTCAAATAAATCGGATATCTCAACGAAATATCTGTTTGGGCATCCGATGCCATAGATACTAACATTTCGTTGCCGGTGGTCATTAAGTCGAAAACACACGCATCAAAAAATGCATCTGTAACTCCAGCTTGTGCACAACGATCTGAAATACGCTCATTATAAGGTTCATTTAATTTTCAAACAATACGACTAACTTTCCTTTCAAACGCTTTTCATACTATATACCAATGATAACCTATTTTTTAACAAGTAAAAGTTTCAGCAGAAAGTAAAAAGCTATCAAATTCTTTTTTGCCATTTACTTCTACGAATATATGTAAAAGACTACAACATTTGTAAGCGGCATACATACCAACAGTTATTTTCACAGGCGTTTTAAGACTCAGACCATGACATCTTGTAAACGCTGCAGGATTTGCAAGAGCTTCTCTGGTCTGCATAACTCTACCGCCAGAGCATCCGTGATTGCACAACGATTCAAATTCACTTGAAAAATCCTGCAATTTTTGTTTTTGTCTATTCATAACTGCAAAAAATAACACTGAATAATAGACAGTAAACTTGTGAAGCAAGAACAGAAAATAATTTTCCAGCTAAAGAAATTGGGCACATTAAATAAATCACTTACTTAATAAATTTTCTGCAGTGATTCAAAACCTTTGAAAATATCTTAAACTGGTATTTAGAACAATTATGAAAACTATTATCATTTATATTTTGGCAGATACTTAATTAATATAGGCACCTATTTTGAAGCTGAAATGAGCGCTGATTCAAATCTCTAATCATAAACCAGCAGCGAAATTCTCTAATACTGTATCAAACTTATGGGAAACTTCATTTCTTTCCTTTTTTTTTTTCGAAACCGTAAAGTTGAAAATTATTCATTCTGGGTGCCACTTTGTAGGAAAGCTAGGTTTAGCTGTGAGATTACACTGACCGGAGCATTCATTCTGCTATAAGCTTAATGTAAAATCCTTCTCCACTTCCAGCCCAAAAGTGAGAATTCCTCTTTCAAAATGAAATTTCAACTTCAAATTCGCTACTCAATACTCGTCGTTTATACACAAGAAAACAGCTTTACAATTTAATTTTTGGTTAGGATTATTAAAGACGTTGAGGTTTAGTATATTCAGCAAGTGAGACCCTTTTTAGCTTTCCTTTCTTATACAGCAGAATACTTTGTTCTCTCTTAGACTGCTTCTGCTAAATAATGAGCAAATATCCTAAAATGAATGTCGTCTGCCATCCTTCCTCTGATTTTGAACATTTTTTTATAACGTATAATGTGGTGTTCTAAAAAAATAAACAATTTGCAAGTGCATAAATTTCCTCTTTTCTCCTCCCCGTGTATCCGCTTATCTTTTCCCTTTTCATATTTAAATTTCTTTAAAGGTCAAAAATCCACCTTTGTTCAAAAAGAATTGGTTACAAGCCAAAAAAGTAAACTAGTTATGAGGAAGTATAACCTTGGTATTAAGTTTGTGCCGTACTTGTGCTACTGCACTGTTACACAGTTTCTTTAAGTTGAACTACAAGTGTGCCTATTAAAATAGATTCAAAAGCATCCTAACAAACGGTATCTGTTACTTGCTTGCTCTCATGAAGTATATGGCCTTTTGCCAGTAATACACTAGGTGAACTCTTCAGTGAAAAAGATATCTTCATTGAAACAGTCTACTGTTCAAAAAGGAGTAGTAAACAATTTTAAGATCTTCATTTTTTGACGATCAGCGAACGCTTTTGATTATTTTTAGGCATTTAGCTGTCGTCTTCCAGTTTATAAAAGCTAAAGTAAGTTTAAAAAAGTTTTTTTTTGAATTAACTAAAAATGCTTTTAAATTTTTCCTCCGTTTTTTTGCCGCTCTAAATGTTCCCAGATAATGCTAGAAATATAAAAGTAAAGAAGCCTCTGTAACAGACAGCATAATAAACCAGTTTGTTGAAATCCGTCCTCCCATTTAACAGCAGATACTCTTTCCCATAATTTTAAAAGTGAGTGACAAAAGTAAAGTCACGAGTCACTAAAAAATGATTGCCAAAACTGATTGTGTACACGCAATAAAAATTCCGGACCTTTATCATAGCTTCTGGAATTAGCAGTGAAACCGCTAAGAAGGCCGCCCGTCGGCTAATAATGATTTTAGTGGCAATATGGTTTATATGGATCTCCACATGACTGTGATTCTGAGGTACTATCTCAACAGCTTTACGTTTTGAATCTCCATCAAACGTTGTGCCGTCAACAAACGCCCATGATAAGTTTTCGTTATCACTTCCTGCTTCATAATGTTTCCTCTGTGTGCATGTTCCGCATTCTTTGATAATTACTGTCACCTAAAAAAACCTCCATCTGCGAGATCACACCACCTAAATAAAGACGAAAATTCCATTCATATCGTCATAAAGAAAATAAAGCCGTAAATGTGACATACCTGGAGAAAAACAGTATTCTAATCAAAGTGCCTTTTTAAAATGGCAAAATTAAACTGGAATACCTTCGTCAGCGCGTTTGCTGCGCTGGTTAAGGATGAATGCGTAATTTGAATGACGAAATGTTTGCTATCAAAGAATGAATAGGCACCAGGACGAGCGCAGGTTTCAAAGCTACCATTGAAGGTTCGTAGATGCCGTGAACCGAACAGCGAACAGTAACGATATACAGGATCAGAAACAGTTTCTGTATAATAGTGACACCTGAAAATCACCAGAATTTCGCGTCGATTATCAATTTATGAAATATTTTTCTTTACTGTTACAAACAATTTGTGAAAAGTCAAAAATATATTCCTAAATCTGCGATTCAGAACTACTCTATTAAAAAGAATTAAAATCATCAGTTGACCACTTAATTTTTTTTCTTAAAAGTATATAAAATTAAAAATTAGTCTAGATTTGCACAAACCATTATTGCTTAACGACAACACTTAGTACTGGTACTCACCGAGGTGGCAAATCTTCCCTAGGTTCTAATGTCTCAGGAAACTTGCTGCAATTATTCCGTGACTTTTGGTTCGCTATATATGTTATAGCACTGTGGTAATAAAATACACCCCAACAACTTGTGGTCATTTCGTGAAGACACAAATTAAAATTTGTTAGAAGCTGCAAAAAAAAAGTAAAGAAAACGTTATAGATTGATGCTGCAACTGGTTCTGAGTAAATCTTGACGTGCTGAAAATTACTTATCTCAAATCATCCATAAAAAATTTCCGCAAATAAACTTATAGATTCAGTATGTTAAAAAAGCTTAAAAATAAAAAGAAAAAACAAAAAGTTACTATTAGTTTTTAACTGAATAACAAATTAGGTCTAGAAGACCACAAATATTACTGTAGTTAAATAGCTTCTTTTAAAGAAAAATAAACATATTCAGTTTTACTGTTGTAAATATGGTTCACAAACATACTTGGCAATAATCTGGATTACTGTCCTTGGTAATACCAGAACCTTGGAGTCTGTCATGAAATGTCGCATAACACTTATCGAATTGGCAGGTCGATCCTAGAGAAGCAAAAAGCTAAAAACTAACCTATATATGGTATTGCATAGCGCAATAAAATTCATCCACGTTGAGATTACCTTAAATTTTTCTGGTTTCTACTGCCCAGGTTCTATTTAAAAACAGTGTTCAAAAAATTACAGTTCCACGCCACAACTAACCGCATATAACATTCCAATAGCTTCAAGACTCGGAAGATGAACTGCAAAGAACGAACAGATTTAGAACAAACCTGTTTCTACAAGTGCCGCGCCGAGCATTATAAAGTATGCAAATGTTTTGACCAGTCCAGCAGTGCACATATCACATGTTTGCGGCTTCGGCCTACCACCGATTCAGGACGAAGCGTCCGAACCAAATCTTCTAATATTGCGTCGCTGTAAAATCGTCCTCTGAAGTCAGATTGCTTACAATTAGCAGCAGCTCCAAGGTACAAGCTCATGCAACCATAGAAGTAATCGTATAAAGATATCAAGAAAAGATATGTAAGATATAATTTCAATTGCTTTTTATTTTTGCTCAGATACATACGATGAACTATACAGCAAGTCATCAAGAAGTTTTAAAGTGGTGATACTTATTGTTCTTTGCAAGACCATCGCTTCTGCTTGTATTTTATAAATTAATTTTGATCAACAGGCAAGAAATAATACACGGATTTGTATTTGTCCGCTGGATTTACTGTTTAATTCACAAAATTATTGTTGTATTTGATAAATATTACACATAACCTTTTTATCTTTTTTATTTGCTTCTTGTCAAACAGAAATCAAACGGCTGGAAATTTCAATAGTCAAAGGCATGCAGACATACAAATATAAAACACCAAAACGAAAATTTGTTTAAACTGATGCTTTGATATGTCAATAAAATCGAACCGCAGCAACACAGATAACAATAAAAGCAACGGCACAACAGTAAAGAAGTGATGACTGAAGAAAGGTTTTAGAAGTTTTAGTTACAACAGAATAAAATCTACTGTTTGTTTCTTGTCATCTTTTATTGTCACCCGTTACCGTTTTTGGGCTGAAAATTTGTTCGATCAAAATTTGATTGGAATTAGACAACGGCAACCCCCATTCTCCTCTTTTCCCAGCTCTATAGATAGCTAACTGTATAATAAAAACTGCAGCACGCAACATGACCCTCCAACAGTGAAGTGAAAAAAATTTCATGACGATTGTTAAGCATAAAAGAGTGAATGATAAACAACGAATGGTGAGTAGAAGAAAAAAATGAATGGATAAATAAATAAAAAACTGAACGAAGCAATGAATAAATGAATAAATTAATGAATAACTAAGTGTGCTTTTATCGTTTCCACTTCCTCCGTTTCTTTACAACTTGTAATCAATTATGCTTTTGTTTGCCTTTGTTCTGTGTTGTCCCCATGCTAATTTTTAAGGTGAGATGAACAAAACAGCAAGTATTTTGGCGTCGAAAACTGTAAAGGAATAAAACCTTTAAAAACTGTACCAAAAAAAAAAACACATTTACATTCTGATACGACAATGACAAAAGCTAAAAAAATTTCAGTAATGTTGATAACAGAATTTTCAAAAGCTAGTTGTTGAGACTAAATATGTATTGCGGTGAAGTTGCTGTTGTTGCAAGCTTATCGTTTCAAATAACTTGCGATAGGTGTAAGAAGCGCTCATTTTATATTTGTTTTAAACTGCTGAACAATAAGCTATCCAAAAAAAAGACATAGTTTCATATCCAATAAAATTATAACCACCAAAACGACACAAATATTTCGTTTAAAATTTTAATTAGTAAAAAAAGTTTCTTCTACCAATTATACCTAAATCACGAAGAAAAATAAATCCACTTTCTATCAGCCTTCCCAGATAACCTTCCAATTTCAGCAGCATATATACAAATTTCAATTGATATTGGTAAAATGTTTGCCTTATTTGCTTCAAAGTCTAAAACAGACAACAAAAGAGAAAGAACATCAAAAGCAGTCACAAATGGTAACGTCAAATTATACAACCGTTTCCGCTGTCCGATAAGATATTACTATATATGTGTATTATTGCCAGCACTTTTTTCTTTCATCATCATTTTACATAAACTTTTAAAGCGTCAGTTTCTTGGTTCACATCTTCCCTCCAAAAACTTTATATACTGCTGACACAATTTTAGAGATCAAAGGTGACGTCAACCACTATCAACTTCTGTAT